CTTGAGGAATTCAACCCGTATAACTCATTTATACACGTTTAACTATACGTGCCATAAATAAATTTATATTTAAATTCCAAAATTAATATATAAAATTGTGTCTAATAATTTACTCTTTTGTAAACTAAAAACTATTTAGTAATTTAGTGGGATTAAAACTTATATTTTTCTTTTTCTGTTTTCTCTTCTTATTCATTTTTTATTCACTTATTCTAAATGTATTGCTTTTACACTATTATATTTTCGGACTATTTGAAAATAAATTTTTTTGTCAGTATTAACATGTCTCTTGAACCAAATTTCTGGCTCCGCCCTTGACCATAACCAAGATACCTTTGATGGAATATGTGTGTTTTAATGTAAAAAAATACGAATTTTGAGTTTTCCAATGCTATTTAAATATATTATTGATTCAGGAGCCTCAAAAATGCAGGAGAGATATATGTTAATATACAAGAAAGAGAAAAAAGGAGACCATTATTGATACTTTTTCAAAACGCAGCAAAATTTAAAGCCAAAAAAAAAGAAGAAGAAAATAATCAATTTAGAATTTAATCCAATTCAATTTTCTCTGTCTTTTTCTCAGTTTCGCATTATAATCCAATTCAATTTTCTCTGTTTAAGCAACATTTTGTAGCAATTGTTCGCCTACAGTCCGTTAGCTTAGAATTTATTATTATTATTATTATTTTTACCAATTTACCATGGAAACTTGTTGTTGGTAAAGTAAATTATAGGTCTAAATAATCCTATGTTACGTTTTTTTTGTAGTGGGAATTTTTGCTTAGGGTCAAGCGCAAAAAACACCATCACATCTTCACATACAAAAAATATTTTTAAAATTTTAATTTGGTACAAATAGATCCCACTGACAAATTTAAACCTCAAGTTGACTAAATTTCCCTTACTGAACCATTTTATAAAATATATAAAAATAAATAATTTTGTAAAATGACCGAAAATGACATTAGTGAATGACGCCCATCACATGCAAAAAACACCAATAAAGTTTCAAGTTAATACAAATAGGTCCCTCTGACAAATTTAAACCCTAAGTTGATTAAACTACCTTTATTGAATCATTTAATAAAATACATAAAAATATATAATTTTGTAAAATGACCGAAAATGACATCAGGCGTTGGAAATAGACATACAAAGATAAAAATAGAAAATAAAAATAAAAGTATAAAAAAAGTAAAGATAAAAATAGAAAATAAAAAGCAAAAATAAAATGCAAACTAAAAAAACAAATCTACTCCAAACTTCGAAAATCATTGCACACTGATATATATATATATATATATATATATATATATATATATATATATATATATATATATATATTTAACAGTGTTGATACGAAAAATAAAAAATAAAAAATAGTAGAATTAAACTGAAATATCAAAAAAATTCAAATCCTTGTCCTACAAATTCTCAAAGTTAAAAAAAAAAAAATGGGTTTAGAGATATATATATATAAAAGTTAAAAAAAAAAAAAAAAAACATATAAAGGTAATGTGCTCATAACACCCCTATATTATGAGATTAGTAGCATATATACTCTTTTGGACATTTTCGAAAAAATGAAAGAGCAAAATAAGTATTACAACACTAATTTATGTCGGTTTTTCATTAAGGAGTATTTTTGTACAATGTGAAAAGATTAAGAATATTTTTTACATAATTTTTTAAATAAAAAATAAAAGTGATACGCAAAATATACTTTAAAATATTTTCAGCACTAGTTCTGTTTGCTTACTCAAAATTGTTTTTGTATGAAAGTGAATTGTCCCACATTTGAAAAATAAGGAAAAGTGTGTGACTTAAGTGGCTCTACCACCTTGACATTGGGGTTTAGACCCCAAGATGCAATGCAATTTTGTGGACGGACAGATTAACCCCAAGTTAGGCCTAGCCCATACGAAATCCAGATGGAATACACGTGTTAATTTCATCAATTTCAACCAATTGGCAATATGCTGATGGAATACACATTAATTTCGACCGGTTGGCAATGGGGGTACTTTTCGTCTATAATAGGGACATTATGGGAACTTTCTTCAACTTTAAAGTTCGTCTTGATAAAGGGCATTATGGGAAGTTTGTTCAATTTAAAAGCGTTCTATGTTGGCTAAGAAATTTATTATTATAGTTTCACTAGTGTTATTAAGGAGCCAATTGAGCCACTTCTCAATGTTAAAGCATTATATTATTTATTACATAACCAATCCAATGACTTTTTCATTCTTTCGTGAGAATGAATAAATCAACTGCATCTCATATTTGAAACTTTTATTTAGCATCATCTAGGGAAAAAAAATGACAAGTATTTATTACATATCTTTTTTACAATAATAAAATTTGTAATATCTATTGTGCGTGTAAAATCACATACATATATAAATAATTTTATTTACCAAATGTAAATTCATTTTTAATCACATGCACCACATATGCGTTTTAGATAAAATAAGTTAAAAGAAATTTTATTAGTAAAATTATAAATGTTCTTTGTTCGGTTTATTTTTTAGTAACCAAACTTACATTTTGCTTTTTTTCCACCTTTTCCTTAAGTAATCAAGACAAAATATTAATTTTTACTTAATTGTGTGTGGGAAATGTAGGATGCTCGCGTGGAGAAAAATTTTATTGCGTCATTTGTATTGGTGACATGGTATCACTAACGGATTAAATACTGATACGTAGCGATAGGACTAATTAAAATAAATTAATTTTTTTTAAAAAAAGATAATGATGGTACGAATGACAATTGGACTCCTGCTATCTTAGTTTCTTTTTATTTTTGCAAAATCTCAATTGAAAAATTCCATTCAAATATAACATATATTGCTTTAGAGACCGGAAGAGCACTAGATTGAGCATATGTGAGGGTGACAATATGCAGATTGAGCATATAAACCAATTCAATTTTCTATCTTCAGCTCTCAATTTTGCAACGCAAACCAATTCAATTTTCTCTATGTAAGCTACATGTTATAGCAGTTCTTTATTTGGAGTTACCAAAGAAAACATATATGGAGCACATATTTTTTCTTCTTAACAATTTATCAAAGAAATTAAGCAAAATTTGATCTAAAATGGAGTAAGTGTCACTGATAGTGATAGTAAGTTTACGTTACGAGAGTACAGGAACATAGTATATTTACTTACTCGAAATTACTTTAGGTGAATGGGAAATTAGATACAAGATAGATATATTTGACCACAATTTAAAGTGATAAAAATAGGCTGTCCCACATTGAAAGAATAAGAAAAATTGCGTGCGTTAATATTTAGCTCCCAACATAATCCCTTGAAAACGCGTCCTAGTTCAACTTAAGACGCTGGGTGACTTCTATACATAAACGATACTTTCCTCTATTTGCTATAAACCGATGCCCCAACTCTATCCCGTCGGTAGCTCTTTATAAACTCTATGCTCTTCGGCCCTTAGATCTATATTTTTTGAGTTGTCTCCGAATGACCTCCGCGCAGAGAGTTCGGAGGAGAGTTGTGTGGGTGACATGGAGGCTTCACAGCAGAAGGTTTATATTACCCTTAGATCTATATTTTTTGAGTTGTCTCCCAATGACCTCCGCGCAGAGAGTTCGGAGGAGAGTTGTGTGGGTGACACGGAGGCTTCATAGCAGAAGGTTTATATTACCCTTAGATCTATATTTTTTGAGTTGTCTCCCAATGACCTCCGCGCAAAGAGTTCGGAGGAGAGTTGTGTGGGTGACACGGAGGCTTCACAGCAGAAGGTTTATATTCTCTCCCCCATTTCATTTTTTTTCTTTTTCTTTTTATATTTTGAACTAATTTAATTTTCAATGTGATAAATTCACGTGCAGGGATCAACAAGGGATCAAATTATCCTCACCATGCCATGCCATCTTCAAGTATCTTATTTCAACGCTAATTGCGCTGCTTGCTGTGCAATCTCAAGGTAAAACAATGAACCCATTTGATACACACACGTTGAACGTTTGGGGTTTTTTTCACATCTATATGCATCTATTGCACGGTCTTGGGATTTATGAAAGAAAAGCAATTTTACGAGTGGGTAAGAGCGAAAGGGTACTCTAAAATCTTGGGCCATGTCATTCTTGCTTCGGGTACACTTTCTGCAGTGTCACTTGTAACTGTTTTTCTCCCGCTTTGGATTGGGTTGCTCTTTGTTATCATTTGGGCAATTTTGATGTCTCATCGCCTCATAGCTCATACTTGCCAAGTGATCTGGGAAAAGATCATGAAGGGAGTTTCTTATACGGTGGACATATACTTCTAGATCATTGCCGGCAAATCAACCGAAGCGCAACGTTCACCAGTTTAATTCTCCTTTGATATTGGAGGACCAAGTTCGCAGCATATGTTTTTTTAGTAATTTTATGTTACTCGTATTCTATTTTGTAACACTTTGTTTGCATACTTTTAGATAGGAAAAAAAAAATAATATGTTGCTCATAGGGATCCGTATAGGAAAAAAAAAATAGTATGTTGTTCATAGGGATCTATATGGTGCACATTTTGTTTTTCTGTTTTTGTTTTAATTTAAAATAAAACAGTGTTTTGTTGTAAAGTGTTTTGAATAGGAATGGAAAATATGCTGCTGGCAAAGTCCATTTGTTGTAAAAAATTTAGAAGCAAAAATATGAAAATATGTTTTGTGAAAAAGTTTTACAAGTTTGAAAAGTATAATGGTTAGTTTTAAAATGTAATTTAAGAGTTTTTCAAAAAAAAAAAAAAATTATTATTTTTTTATACAATATCAATTGCTAACATGTAAAAACACTTATTTGGTATTTTGATTTTTTGCCACTATTCATGAAATATTTTGGTACGGTGTAAAAATAAACAATTCTCAAAAAATTATTTTTAGAAAATTATAAAAAACAATTTTATGAAAAAGATCTTTTTATTTCGATGAAATACAAAAATACTAAAAACAAAACGCATAGCATACCAAACATGCCCCTGACTTTTGTTTGATTTGGATATAATAAAACACCTAAAAGCAGTAAAAATTACTATCCAGAGACTGGCCTACACAATACAATTTTATAGTTACAACCCAGAAAAAGCATAAAAATAATAACTCTTAAAAGCAGTAGGAGCAGCCAATATCAACAAAAGTGACCGGCCATATTAGCAATCAAATAGCCCAAAGAACTTGATTCAAGCAATCCATGGATAATTCAGAAGTAAAACAACAACCAACTAAATCACCAAATAATTTGTACAAACATTGGCCTATCACCACGGGCCCAAATGAATGATCAAAGTGGATGTAGTGTTTCATGAGGAAAAGCCCAAATAGACTGGTTTGACCACCAGAAGGATGAGAGCCACTGTATTGGGAAAAAAAGATCCATGAATTCGACCAAAAACTATAGTAGCACTTTGCTTAAGACAATTGACCAGAACAACTAATATAGAAAAGGAGAGGTGGGTCACATCAAATATTAAACGACGTGGAAATTATTATTCTAATGTATATTACTTTAAAAATGAGAAGAGATTTTGTGAAGGTAAATCAGCAACAGGGTAAGAAAGTGCTTGTGTGAATATTCATTTGCAAACATCATTTAGAAACCACTATGTCTGCGCAGTCCATAAAAATAATTTTACTTTTTTACATCATATTCACTAGAACATGCTTGCCAACATTACTACTTTCTTTCCTCATCTTTATGGATTCTGTATATCACACATTAACTTTCATAATATCTGACGGATCTAAATAATGAAATATTATTCACATTTCAAGACCACGTGGCTGCCTTTGCCTCACCTGTATTAGTCACTTTAGTCTCCACTCTTAGTTACTTTTGACTTTAGTTTATTAGTTATATAACAAAATTAAATATATTATACATATATTATATATATATAAATATATAATACATATATTATACGGTTCCGGTTCTTACCGGTTTCCACGAGCTGGAACCGAAACCGTATGTTAACGGTTCCGAATTTAGGAACCGGAACCGAAACTGTGAGAACCCTGAAAAACGGTTCTGATTCTCACGGTTCCGGTTCCACGGTTCCGATTCTTTTATGCACCCCTAGATGAGAACCTCAAGGGCCGATCTGTATTGGGAATAAAAGGTCCATGAATTCTACCAAAATTATAGTAGCACATTGCTTAAGTGTTGGCATGACATCTCATTATTTTCTTGCTTTAAGTGTTGGCATGACATCTCATTATTTTCTTGGCATTCACTGGGGACTTCTCCCTTTCCTAAAAAGGTATGTTCTGATTTCATAACAACTCTATAACAAACAAAGTGGACTGCAGAAGATAAACCCTCACTGACTCATCACTTTGAGAAATTTTATTGGTCTGTACAAGGCAAAAGCCTAACCAAGAACCAGGAGATATTATTTCTAAAGTTCCACCACTTCCAAACAGTTTGTTAAAAGGTTTGGGCTCTATTAAAAGGAGAACCCTAAGCCGTTATCAAAATTTTAGGAAAACTTATCAAAAAATACAATTCAATAACCCAATTTGGGTCACATAATCAGGAATTCCTCTTTCTTTTTAAATAAGGATGTTTGATTTCACTGTTTTCTTTAACTATACTTACTTTTCACATATTTAAATTCATAATATCTCATGGATCTAAATAATGAAATATTATTCACATTTCCATGGTTGGATTAGCCCTACAAGCTTGCAGTCAAGCAATCAATAATTTGCTCTACAAGAATACTTGCCTTAACCCAGTACCGATCCTTCCAACAGATGCTGCTATCATCCTGTGAATATACACCAAAAATTTAAAAGCATTAGTACATAAACTATTTAACAGGGTAGGCTGCCAAAGTTATCCATATTCTTAGGCTGTCTAATTGCTAATTAAACTACTAAATCAAGATATAATTTAAGCTACCAAGAAAGTTATACCCTCAGCAATAAATGAGTATACACCGTTTTATTCCTTTCTTTAACACGCCTAAATTAGTGGTTGAAGGAGGAAAAACTCCTGAAATTCAGAAGTCCAACCAACTATAGAATGAATAATGACTTGTAAAATTTCAAATGCTAGTTTAAAAGATAATCACTCTTAAAAACTGTAGAATCCTTCATCACTAGGCAATTGCATATTCTAAGGTACAAGATTCAATGGTAGTTAATTTAGGCTTGTTTGGAGTTCGGGAAAAGAAATCTAGGAAATTAATTTTTATGAAACACCAGCACTTGATACTAGTCATCTATTTGATAAAATCGATTTTAGGACCACATTTTGAAGCAAATATGCTGGATATATGAATCTTTTCTATCTCATGCAATGCAATTACATCAATAACATAGAATACGAATTAATAATCCGCAATGGATGCAGCCTAATCCAACAGCATGAACTCACTTCTTATTATTATGATGCTGTGATGAAGCCTCAAGGAGAAAAAGGTAAGATAATCCGACAATTCACCTCTCCAACAACTAGCATTGGTATCAAGAAAGAAGGAACCACTGAAACCAGTCCCAAAAGCAGATACTCCAATTCCGTAAAGCTCTGCAAATCAAGAATGATCAAGTAAACTGACATTTTAAATAACGTCCAAAATATATGTGACCACACGGGGTGTGTGTGTGTGTGAGAGAGAGAGAGTGAAAGAGAGAATTTGTTTCCCAATAAATATATAAATAAATATGTATATTTGAATTCCAATAAATCAGTATATAGAGAGCACTACTAAAACCAATGCATATAAAATATTATCAATCAAAAAAGGAACGCTTTTAGCTATGGTTGCAATCTATAACAGTAAAATTCAAAAGTTGATTGAATTAAGGAACCCTCATCAGTATTTACCGAAAAACAGGAAACCCGCATCAGTGACTACATTACCATAACCACAAGCTCTTATTCAGTCCTATTTCTATATTATTGATTCATGAGCCTTAAAAGTGCACAAGAGATAGAGTTCGGAACACTGAATATACAGGAAAGAAAAATGGAGACCATTATTGATCCTTTTTCAAACCAGCAAAATTTAAAACCAAAAAAATAAAAACAAAATAATTAATTTCCTTGAAGCAAATCCGATAATTCTAGAGTATTTCTAACCAAGCAATTAGCAATCACCATATTAACACATAAGTTTAATCTGCATTGGCTACAAAATCCAACTTTGGCAGTATACAAGCAAATACAAAGAAATTTACTTATCCGCATTACATCAATAATTCATTTTGTACTAATCGAGCTCAAAGGAAATCACTTTTCAATGAATAACAAACATATGCAGATTGTATGTAACAAACCTCGTAGAGCTTGTACGGAACGACAATTCTAAGGCAAAGAGTGAGCCAAAATGGTGCGTAGATAAGAAAAAATAACTCGCCCCATCTCTTGCTTGGATTGGGAGCAAACCACAAACTCGAACTACAAGAAGCTACTTCGCTACCTGTGAATATATACACATACATATATACATCAGTGTAATTTTATCAAGAAATTGCTGAAACTTTGGAGAGTGTCAAAGTACAAAACTCTAAGAAAACCCTAATTTGGAGGAAAATGAACTCTCCTCCCATTTCGTTAATTGGGATCTAAGGCTTTTCTCTCCAATGGACCTCAGACACAACCGAACTGAAGTGTGAGCGGAGAAGGCTCCAATGCGTGGACCATATGACCTTTTATTTTAATGTCAAAAATACCCTCTGAAATATATGGAATGACAAATTTTACCTTTTATGAGTTGGCATAGTTGTAAATTTAGGGCAATGTAAATACATTGAAATTTGTTTTTAAAAGTCTAAATTGAGTGTAGGGAGAAATTTAACTAGTTAAATGTTTGGGAATAATAGTTATCATATGAATGTTATTTTTTTTAATAAAATAAAATAACATAACATAACATAACATTACATTGTAAGTAGTAAAACTTTTCTTTATTTTCTTCTTTTTTTCAAAAAAAATTATTGATCTATATCATATATCTATCTATTTTATCAATTGATGTCATGATTAAAAAGTGTACGCAAAGCATACGCACATATCATGATTCGTCATATCGGCCGATACGCAATATATAGTCCGATTTGTAATCATTTTTTAATAGTCTGATATTATTACACATTTCACAAATCGATTGATTTACATGAATATTCGTCCGAATTCGTTAGACCACGACCGCAACCAATACATACATATATAATACTTCTTTTTAACATGAGTACACACAGTAATATTGGGTATTAAAAGATCAAATTATTGGCAGCTTTTGGACTTGTCTTTCCATTCAATAGGAGGGTTTTTTTTTTTTTTTTTTTTTTTTAATATAGGAGGGGTTGAGGGTGTGAAATTTTTTTTTGGACAAGCCTAACTTAAGTTTAGAAGTGAAACAAACAAGGAAAAAAATTGCATAAAAGTATAATTTAGTGACATCTTTAGGAGTTAAGTGGTACAATTTCCTCTCTAATTCTTCGTGATTGAGTTTTTATTTTATTTTTTACAATCTTTGATTTAGAAAAATATATATATATATTGAATTAGAGGAAGTATCTAGTTTGTAATTTCTCTTTTTATTGTCTTTTATTTTTATTTTTTGAGGATATTATTGATTATGAAAGCGAGAGAAAAATTAGGTGCAGCAGTCTAGGAAGCACAGATACTTCTCTCAATGTGTCGTGGTGGTATCAGAGACACTTTTAGATTGATATTGTTCTGAAACGTGATGATACGACATGGCAACAAATACAAAATTAAATACAATTTAAAATTTATTATGGGTTAGTTAAAAAATAATCTAAAATTTAAGAAAACAAAATTAATTAAAAATTTACCTCTAAACTCCAAATTATTGATTTATTTATGATTCTACGAATAAAAAAATAAAAATATATATCCGTATTCAATATTCGTATTCGGGCGTCCTAGCTAGGTAGCATTCATTGGTGAGAAAATTAGAGAGAGTAAACAAAGATGGTTTGGACACTTAGATCTAACATAGAGAGTCAAAAGAGAAATATTAGTTGTAAAATAATGCAAGAGAGGAGGAACGACCAAAAAAAATTAAAGAGAAAGAATTAATGTGTCTTACCCCATTTATATAGGATTAAAGCAAAAATAATGATGATGATAATGATAAGAGTTAGTTTAACTTTCTATTTGCACTTATGTTGAAAATTTAAGAAGTTTTTCAATCTTCTTTACAAGATAAGTTTTCTATTGCGCCTATTATTATTATTATTATTATTATTATTATTATTATTATTTATGTTAGTGGCCTATTTATTTTTATTTTGTTGGGGTCTATTTATGTTTACTTATTTATTCTATTTAATTGGGCTATTATGTGATTTATTGGCTCTATTTAATTTGACTATTACAAGAACTTAGCTTTGCCTACATTAGCTTAGTTCTCCTATATAAATTTTAGCTTATATCCTTCATCAGTTAATAAGCTTTATTTTTTATTTTTGGACAATAGTTAGATTCCCGCAAGGTTATGAGGCGGGATGGAGAAATGTCATTCCCGCCTATGGAGGTTACGCCACACAGGCGACACGCAGACGCTGAGTAGGACGCTGCATGACATGGGAGTTTCTAGAGTCTTCTGAAGTAGTCTAGAGTTGTGTGAACGATTCTAGATATGCGTAGAAATGTGTAGAAATGTGTGGAAGGTTCTGGAGTTCTCCATAATTGTGTGGAGTAGTATGTAGAGTTCTAGAATGTTATAGATACTTGTGGATAAGTATGGAAGTGTGAAGAAAGTGGGAGAAGATTCTAGAGAATCAATCTCCACCATAGGTTAAAATGCATCCTAGCCATCCATTAGGGATGGGGATGCCTATAAATAGGAGTGGGACTTCATTTTGTAGACAACAAGTCCTATAGTGAGTCTTAAGAGTCTTGTAGAGAGTTTGAGTGCTAGCCTTGTACAAAGCATTCTTTGAAGTAATAGAAGTGTTCTTTCCTTGCCAACTTAAGTGCCTTAGTGTGTGTGAGTGTGCAAGCCAAGTGAGGAGAGGGCGAGGGCCACTTCAACACTAGTAAGCGCACGAGGGGAGTGTGTTGGCTAAGGTGTGCACGGGAGTTATGCTGACTAAGCACTTACGAGAGTAGAAGCAACGTCTTGGTGCCGCACGGGGGTAGCTAGAGTGGTGCTGAAACTCTAAACCCGTGACAGTTGGTATCAGAGCCAGGTTCGTCAAGGGAGCCTTGTGGAGTAGACATAGCTAGCGGAGGAGACCACCAAGTCCACGTCTTGGAGCAGAGCTTGGAGGAGAAGCTTGCCACACACTTGGTCTACACGGAGACCAAGTTTAATAGGCTCGAGAGAAAGATGGCGGAGCTCTACGGGCTGATTGATGGCATCGCAAGAGAAGGAAAGGGACTTGCAAGATCGGGTAGATAACTTGCGCGTGGAGATTACCGAGTGCAAGAAGGAGTTCTCCCAAGCGCGCAAAGTCGTGGTGAAGCCAAGAAAGAAGAAGGCGCCGGAGCCCAAGGAGTATGATGGGGTAAGGAATGCGCGCCAGATTGACAACTTCTTCTGGCATATGGAGCGATACTTCGAATGCATGGAAATCGAGGACGATGAGGAGAAGGCGCAGACACGCACTATGTACCTTACGGACACTTTCGCTCTATGGTGGAGGCAGCGCTCCACCGGTAGGGGCGTAAGAGCGGTTGACACATGGGAGGAGTTCAAGAGGCAGTTCTACTCTAAGTGCGTTGAGGACCTCGCCATAATCAACCTAAGGCGCCTGAAGCAGAAGGGTAACATAAGGGATTATGTGAAGGAGTACTCCAACTTGATGCTGGAGATCCCAGAGATGCTGGAGCGGCAACGCGTGTGCTTATTCATTGATGGGTTGCAGGCTTGGGTAACCACAGAGCTGAGAATGAGGGAGCCTAGAGACTTGGCATCCGCAATGACTATAGCGGAGCGCCTTGAACACTTTAGGCGTGATAATAAGAGGGCTACGTCTCCCAGGAGGGACCACGACAAAGGTGGGGGAGACCGGCGCTTCAAGAAAAGGGGCTCGCCCAAGTCCTGCGATGATGAGCACAGCGATGAGGAGAGACGCCCACGCCATGACTAGAGCAAGGACCATGGAGAGAGGTCCAATTCTAGTGGCAAAGGAGAGCGCCGCGACAAGGGCAAGTGGGAGCCGAAGTGACACTGTGCGATGGGCCGCACATATTGCGACACTGCCCCAATAAGAAAACCATGAACGCCTTTGTAAAGGATAAGGGCAAGGGTAAGGAGGACGATGCGGGTAATGATGAAGACAGGTGCATAGGGGCTATGCAGATGCTGAGTAGCATAGCGCATGACACCAAGAAGAAGAGCAAGGCAAAGAAGGTAGCCGGGGTGCGCCATGTGGATGCGCAGGTTGTGGCAAAATCGTGCAAGCGTTGGTGGACACAGGTGCCACACACAACTTCATTACCCCGAAGGAGGCGCAACGACTTGGCTTGGAGATACGCAAGACGGAGGGCTGGATTAAGGCCTTCAACTCCGAGGAGGCACGCGTGAGCAGAGTGTGCAAGGAGGTGGAGCTATGCATGCAAGGGTGGAAGGGCAAGGTCGACTTCCAGGTTGCAGAGATGGACGACCACGACATGGTGCTGGGGCTGGAGTTCATGGATGGGAACAACGCCGCGCCACTACCATGCCTTGGTGTGTCGATGATACTTAGAGGCGAAGAAGGCAAAGCCGCATGCATGGTGCCGCTCGTGGGCAGGAAGGAGAGTCTAGAGGTGGCAATCAACACGATGGAGCTCGTGAGGATCTCACATATCCCGAAAGGGCGCGCGCACATGTGGGCCAAGGACATATGCTCAAGTGTTGATGACCTACGAAAGGCTGGGTCAGCTAAAGAAACCGTGACGAGGGCGTCACGAAAATGGGTGGGGGAGAATGTCACACCCCGCCTATGGAGGTTACGCCACGCAGGCGACACGCAGACGCTGAGTAGGACGCTGCATGGCATGTGAGTTTTTAGAGTCTTCCGGAGTAGTTTAGAGTTGTGTGGAAGATTCTAGATATGCGTAAAAATGTGTAGAAGTGTGTGAAAGGTTCTGGAGTTCTCCATAATTGTGTGGAGTAGTATGGAGAGTTCTAAAATGTTATAGATACTTGTGGATAAGTATGGAAGTGTGAAGAAGGTGGGAGAAGATTATAGAGAATCGATCTCCACCATAGGTTAAAATGCATCTTAGCCATCCATTAGGGATGGGGATGCCTATAAATAGGAGTGGGACTTCATTTTGTAGACAACAAGTCCTATAGTGAGTCTTGAGAGCCTTGTAGAGAGTTTGAGTGCTAGCCTTGTACAAAGCATTTTTTGAAGTAATAGAAGTGTTCTTTCCTTGCTAACTTAAGTGCCTTAGTGTGTGTGAGTGTGCAAGCCAAGTGAGGAGAGGGCGAGTGTGATACCCTCGGATTCCCGAATGCGGGTTGGCCAGGCCCACACCCGAATACCTGAGGATATCAAAAACAAAATCGGCAATAAACGAACATAGAGTACAAAAGAATAAAGAAGAATAAATAAAATGCTGACAAGAAACTAAAATGATAATCTAATAATAAATCTCAGAATATATTTCTATTAATTAATAAACTCTTCTAATACAACTG